TAGCTCCTATGTTGAGTCCTGTTATGAACACATAAACTACTTAAGGACAAAGAAGAACGAGGCGTCAGATGACAGAGTCTCCACACCAGCCCACCTCTGACACCAGACAACCTGCCCAAAGGAACTTCCCTCCCTCTGCAGCGGAGAGAAAAACACTAGTGAGCCCCCGCAGCCAAAACGGTCTTCTCCCTTCAGCTCAGAGGAACAGCCCCAACCTCATCAGGCCCAGTCAGAGTAAAAATACTGAGACAATTCCAATGAAAGCACTGCGTAAAAGAAAGCATATGGAAGTAGATAAAAAGGATATGAGTGATGCAGAGCTTAAAAGAAAAAAGACTGACTGGAAAGATGTGCACAGAAAAACACTGTACCAACATGAAAGGTCAGATCATGACCAAAAGAAAAACCACTGTTCTAGGGGTCCATCCTGCTCAACCAGTGGCTACAGGACACAGAATTCCATCTCGCCAAGTAAGAGGAAGCCAGATAAAAACATCTTTGAGACGTCAAATAAGAGGGCCAGAACCAAGTGCGAAAACAGCAAGAGCCACACCTTTAATGACAGTTGGGCTGAGGACTACCGCTGCAGAGAAGCAAAAGGAAGACAAGCAGAGTAACAGGTGGAGGATTGGCAAAGGAGGGGTAAGTGGTCTGGGTGGTGTGGTACTGACAGAGATGATCCGATGAGTAGTTCTTCTAATAACTATGACGGCTAGCACTAACTGCGGTTAGCTGAAGACTTGGCGAAGAGTGATGGTAAGTGCTGGTATTAAATACCGGCAGCTCTATTACCGGCAGGTGTGGAAACACACATGAATGCAGTGACTCAGCTTAGGGGTGGAAACGGCGACTCTGTGGAAAAACCCGGCACTCACCCGGACCATGACAATCAGTATGTAGTGTCACTAACACTGTGGGACTCTATAGGTTTCTCTGGTCCCTTCCTCAATCTTGTCCTTCAGTGCTGCAACCACTGCATGTCATTAACGTTCTTCTCGTTCCAGGAGATTTTCCCCTTCTCTATATTCTCCTGGGAACATTAATCCATCAGTATCAGATGAACTGTTCAAACTGTACCTCAGCTGCCCTGAACTCTTCATTCTTAACCTTACCTTGTTAACAGGAAACAGGGGAGTTAGAGGATTAGACGGGTGACATGAAAGCAGATCCTGAGAAGTAATGAACAAGGCTGCATGTGAGTACGTAGATAGGGAATCGAGAGAAGGAGGCGGTAAATTAGGCAGAAGGTATGGACCCAAACTTAGTGCTGACATATGTTCATAACACTGGAATAAGGATCAGTAATTACAGGATTGCACGGACAGTTTTTATGGATAAACTGGACGGGGATCTGTATGAAGTCTACATGAAGTCATAATCTGAGCATTATTATTATTAGTAGTAGTAGTATTGTTATCTTCATCATCATCATTATTATTATTATTTTGAGTTTCTTTGGATATGAAACCAACAAAATAACTTAATTAAATATATCTTCTTTTACTGCTGATACTGTGCCATTGTGACTCCTACTATAAACTGTCAAATAGAAATGTGGCACATGCTTTAATTGTGGGTAAAAAACTTTTCTTACCCACATGTTTGATGAATTTCAAACATATTTAACCTGGACCATAAACAAGACTTTCTGTTCCGGGGTCTGGAATCTCTGATTTGCCATGCTTTCATCTTGACCAGGAGGTGGGCCAAGAGTTATGTTCACTTAAGTCCAGGACATGTGGAGAAGTAACACAATTGTCTAGAAAAGGAGACAGTGGGGCACAATCATGAGCAAAAACAAAAGGTTTTGATTAATGATTAATCTTAAAGTATGTGCCAGGCTGCTACTACTAACTAACACAAGAACAAACACAGCAGAGGCTGGTCAACAAAGCAATTCATAGATTCTACTCAGAGAAAGCCTAAGTGGTCACAAACACACAGATCACATGAAGCAAAGTCAAAAGGCACTTTGGCACTGGCAGTGTCTTCTGCATCAATTTGAGCTCCTCAAATTACATTGCCTCCACAGGAAAAAGTGTGGTTTCTAAGACAGGGCAGAGAGAGCACTAAACTAAACTAAACTAAGGTGACCAACCGTCCTCTTTTCCCCGGACATGTACACTTTTCACGTTCTGTCAGGAGTGTCCGGGGGGATTTTCGAGATTGATGAAAATGGTTTTTCTATAGGCCTACAGAGGATCCATGTGTGACGTCATCCCAGAACTGCTGCTTTGTGAGTGGTTGTTCTGCCTCACAGACGGGACAGAGCACGCCTGATGATGTTTAAAAGATGCGAAAGCGCAAATGCAGCTTTTCAGACGAACTGCAAAAGAAATTTCCCTCATACCGTCCCGGTACTGGTCATTTTTCTTATACAGATGAGGCCTTACTTCTGTACCATTATTTAATTCCAGAGGTTTTTCAGTTATCTTTTTGCACTTGTTGTCTTGTAAACCCTATATGACATTTTTTATTTCACCATTCATTAACTGCATAGAGAAGGCATCGTTTGAGTATGTTAAAATTTTCTTTAAGCAAAATTGTAACCAGACACAGTAATAAAGCAAAGCAAAGCAAAGCAAAAACGCATTATTAACGTTCTTCATGACTGGGCCAAGTGTCCTCTTTTTTGGAAATCAAAATAGTCACCCTGCACTTAACAGTGTTTAGAGGGAATGACAATCAGTGGCTTTCACAGATCTGCATTTAACTATGTGTTAGAATTCAAAAATAATCTGGGATATCACTTCGATTAGGTTCAATTTTTCATCAGAGATAGCTGACAGAAGTTCCTGAGTGGGCATGTGCATCTTGTGCATCTTCTGCTGGCCTTTTATTTTATGATGTTACACTGGGTCTTTTTGAATAATTTGGGTTAAAAAAGAACCAGAATATATTGAAAGACTAAAAACAAACGGTGTTCTCTGGGAAACCATGGTTTTACACACTGTTGACATTCTGTAACTTTTCATATCCTTTCCATGTGCTGTGACAGACATTTATCACTACACTGAGATCAGTCCCAGAAAGTTATGCAAAATGAAAGGCAATAAAAGATTGCATAGAAAAACAGGGCTGTGAAGCAACGGAAAGCATAGATCAAACATACCTCAGTGGGTGCTCAGAGCAACCTGGGAGCTCATACATAGGTTACGCAGGTATTTTAACAGTTGTTCGGTTCAGTTTAAAGAGATGGGAATACTTGATGATATTAAGAACACAGTGTCGCAGGCTGTGTTCACTCCTTCCACTCTGATGTCCGGGCGAGGAGGGCTGCACATGGCTCAGATATTACTGTGTCTGGTTACATTTGTCATAAGTGCCTTCAGAGGAGGGAGCAGCCATACCTACTGGAACTACGCCATGTTTGCCTGGTCTTTCTGTCCCATCATGACCCTCGTCATCACCATCGTTGAGATGTTCAAGCTTGACCTACTGCTCAAACTTTGCCTCGACTGGAGAGATTTCACCACAGGGATGGCCATGTCCTCCGCACTTATGACTGTCAGCGTTGCTATTTTCTATGCCAATTTCTACATCTGCCGGACATGCCTGCACGGGTGGATTGTGAGCATATTTGCTTTCTTGTCCGGCATCGTCTACATACTCGAAGTGGTGAAGGACAAGATCTTCGATAAGAGTACGGGGAGCTACCTGTCCGCCCTACCTGGATTCATGAAAGTTATGGAGGCTTTCGTGAGCTGCATGATTTTTGTGTCCCTGACCGGTTACAGAGACTCCTTCCCTCTGATCTTGTGTGTTGTAGCATACGCCATTCCATTTCCCATTATCCCGATAATCATTGCTACCAACATCCTCAAGAAACTCAAGAATTGCTTGCCTTTTAATCTGGACAGGTTTGTCTTTATATTCCTGGTCATCTCTGTTGTGCTCTATGTATTTACTGCTATCATGTGGCCCATTTTTATGTTCAGACACAACCCTCGCCCCAGTGACTGTCCACCCAGCTATTGCATATGGGCCATTCAGTTCATGGTTGCCTTTTTCACCTATGTCAACCTCATTCTATTCGTACTGGACCTCATTTTCACTCTGCTTGGTATCTGTGGCTTTAAACGCACATAAACTGGTGCCTTTCTTTGTCATTCAAAATTCTTTTAAGTTGTACTTCAGGTTAACAAACACCAAAAAAGGGTTAAAATCTCATTTTTGAGTTTCTATAATGCTTTCTGAAACTGGTATATTGAGGTCCATGTAAATAGACTAAAGCATATGGGTATAACACACTTGTGTTTAATCTGCATCAGCACTTCAGGATATCAGGATATCATTGTTGGGTAGCTTGACAGATAGCTCTACAAAGTTTAATACCATGAATGTGGATTATAATTTCTGTTTTTATAGTTTTTGTATTTTTACATTATAAAATTGAGTATTTGAATATTGCTTTGTTATGTTTTGTCAAACTGAAATGCACAATGAGTATTTGAAGTGAGGCATGAGTCAGTTTTGTGTGTCCTCCCTCTGCCTCACTGTCAGATTGTAAGTTTTATCTCCCCCACATTAACATTTGTGTTATCTCGCAGTAACAGCTCCTTACTACAACGCTCTTATTAACAGAATACTTTTACAGCAGTCCTTGTCATTTTCCACCTGCAGCTACTTGTGTTGAAATCCACTTATTTGATTCAATATTATATAGTATTCATAATCACGTCAAGCTCTGACCTGCTATTTATCATATATTCCTGACTGTGCGCACTATTGTGATCATTCCTGGTTGGTGACAATCACCTATTTAAAAGCTATCTTTGTACGTATGAATACAGTTTTGGGGGGGTTTGTGCTTCGTTCTTGCTACAAATGTGCTGCACGTTTCATTTCCTCTGCCTAGAGGAAACTGACTGAGTGATTTTTGTTTTAAGATGTTGCAAAAATAATAAATTTAGTGCCTGAAAAACTATTGACATATTGTCCTTTTTAATTAAAAAGCACAAGGTGACAACTTTAATGAAAAGTTACTTTTATCACATCATGGTTATTGTAACAGCAGATGAAAAAAGAGGCCATAACCAAAAGATTAAAACCACAGAAGACAGCAAACTATTACTATAACATTTTACCCTCTACACACAATAATACATCTCAGGCAGTATATTCAAATGTCATCACCGTGGCTGTTGAATGCCATCAAACTGAGATAGTGAGAATGCAAATGCAGCAGGGACATTGCATAGTAAGTAGCCATCAGGCAGAACCTATTCAGCAAATGTACACATTAAGTAGTATTTTTTTTTTAAACTACTTTAAGAAAATAGTTAAAGTTCACGTAAAAACAAAACTTTACAGTCCCAAAGCTGGAAGAGTCAGCACGCTGCTGTTTTTCAGGCATCCTCTGGTTCTTCAAACTCCACAGTCTCCAGCAGACCCTGAAAACAGAAGTAGTGGGAGTTGCAGTAGACTGGAGGTTTGTGGGCACATGAGTCCACAACTTCTGGCTTTAGTGATGCAAAAGGGTTGGCTCCACTTCCTTTCATGTCCATTTCCAGCTCCAGCAGAATTTGCAAAGAGTAGGTCATCTCTGTCTCACTGCAGACGGAGAACAAGCAGACATGATCAGCCGACATTACACGCAGCAAAGCATGGCAAATGGGCACATTAGCTCTCAGTGATAAAAGAGCAGAAGCAGCAGAAAGTTTAGGCTCAGCAGACTGCTGTGCACTTGTAAGATATAATGTATAATACAATAATGAAACTGACAAGCATGTCACCTGATTAGAATGTAAAAATGACTGTTACAGTATAGCTTATTAAACTGAAGATCCCACATGACGCCACTTAACGCAGGATCTTCTCATTTCCCCAGAATTAGTCGCTCAGGTTCTTACTCAAAACCCCTCACAGATCTCTTGTTTATTCTGCCACGCCTGTGTAGCTGAGGTATTCTCACTGTCTGGCTGTATCAGCATCAGCGCCTGTAAATGCAAATGACCCGGTGTTCCTCACAGGCCGCGTGGGCTGTGCCTTTCCAGTGATGGACAAAGCACTCGTTTTTTTCATTGTCCCATATTATCAGCATCAGTCCGTTAAAGATCTGTTTGAATGAGTAGTTCTCCAAAGCTGCAGGTGCATATTCCCACTCACTGAGGTTATACAAGGCCAAGATTCCTCATTGGCCTTGTAAAAAAAAGATGAAAAAGCTGCTCTTTAATTCTTTATAATCCAAATACTGAAGATGTATTCTGGATTTAATTCTAAAGATGTAATGTTTGGCATTACTCTTGAACTTGCTGGGTTTTACTGCAGCAGTTTCAGCTGCTGACTGTGATGGTGAGTAATCTTATCCTTAAATACACACCGCTAGGAATATTCTTACTCCCAGTAAAAAAATTAAGATTGTTATCCTACACACTGTAGCTTTAAGTAGCATTAGCATGCCATAACAATACTATCAAAAGTCCTCATCATGTAGAACAGCCAAGGTTTTCTTCGTTAATGTTGTACTATATTTGATTATTATTGATGAACTAACATGTAAACAGAACGTTAATGTAGTAGTTGAGGGAAGCCGAGCTCATTTTAACTATTCTAGACAGCAGTAACTTCATATCTGCAGTAAAATAATGCGGTGTAGATCACAATGTTTCCCTTTAGCAATAAAATATCATAAAACAGAAATGTCACCAGAAAAGTTAATGAACCTGAAAACTAAATATAAATGTAATAAGGTCAAAATGTCACTCACGTGAGAGCAGTGAAGAGAGAAGGAATTTCATAATCTCTGAGAAGCAGGAGAGTTGGAAGCCAACCCTCGTCCAGACCTTGGCTGGCATCAAATCCTTAATAAAAATAAATAAATAAATTTAAAATAGGAAGGAAAGAACACCAAATAATGAATGAGATCTTCTAACTTTTTATTGTTCAGTAAGAAACATACACACTATTATGTGCTAATATAAGTGAGAAAAAATTTCTCACCAGGATGAAATCCAACCACCAGATCTGGCTTGGCTGCCTCCTCTTTCTCCACCAGCTCCTCCCAGAACTGATGGTAGAGGCCCTTGTAGGCGCTGATGTAGACTCTCTGTTTGGGTCCAAAAGCTCTGAGGGGAGGCCTCACGATAGGGCCGTCCACCACCTCAGGCCCCACCATGACTATTTCGATCCCCTGGTGTCCGGGGAACATGTTGTTCAGCTCATCATAGTCGGTCAGTCTGGCTGACAGAGTCTCAGTGTGGCCTGCTCCTACCAGGTGAATGGTGAGAGGTTTGGATAAAGGGTTTAGACCAAACAGCCTCATCCCCCAGGCTATTGTCAGGGGCCTGGAGAAGAACTCGCTGCAAACCCTCCACAGCGACTGCTTCAGATCGTCATCATCTGGCCGAGGCCGACCAGCGTCGGTCCACAAGTTGTTCATGTTTTTTCCATTTAAAATGGGATCGAGGCGTGCTGTGAGATCTCCCTGCATGGAGAGCCAGTCATCGAAACCTTTTACCTCAGACTGGGACTTGGACCATTTTTCTGTAGGAAACGGAAGGTCTCCTGAAGACAAATAAAACTGGCAGTTTGAGCAAGGTTAAAATGATTTGTTAATTTTTTGTTTTAAATTCACATTATTACTTTAGCATAACATTGTAAAAAATATCATAGCAGTTTACAGATTCACACAAAACCCCCAGTTTCCCTCTGGGGTTGGGTCAGACATGGCATGTAGTGGAAGAAAATCTGCTAAATCAGACATTTGAAGCAACCCACTATGTCGGATACTTTATTCCTTTTTTGGAATAATTGGAAGAATCTGCTATTTACCTTTAAACACAAGCCACTCCACAACTCTGTCGATGGCAGCCAGTCGCAGCTGTGAGCAGGACTTCTTGTGCTTGGGCCAGTCTTCCTTCTGACACTCTTTACAGCAGTAGTAAGCATTCAGACACCTGGAGAGGAAAAAAAGATCTGGTCTGTACTGGCAGTACAAACTCACTGGATAAAATCTGAATACACTGCTTTTTTACTCTCTCTCTTTACCTGGAGCAACGCTTTAGCTTCTGTGGGTTGGAAAGTTCATTCGGTCGCTTTTCACAATAAGCACAGATTTTGAAAGATTCCTCCATCTTCTCAAACATCTCTTTTTGGGACCGGAAAGTCATGCTTTTACCCTTGTTCTGCTGAACAGCCCTGGAAAGGAAGATTCAAATTATTAAAGATCAATGGGATACAGCTGATCAGAGGCTGAAGATGACAAATATCATGCCATGTGTTCATCATACTCTTATATTCATGCTGTAACCTTCAGTTCTTTTCTCAGTGGTGGGTGGGAAGAGCGTTTTTTGCTTTAAGCTTCATGTTTACAACTTGGAACAAGTGGAAAAACCATACATTCCACTACCTCCGTGTTTCAAGACTGAAAATGGCAATTCAAACTTCATGCTGTCGGTGAAGGCCCTGCTCCTCCCGCATGTGCTTTCACTCCTCGGCCACTTTCACAGTGCTCTGTGAAAATAAATGCACATTTAATAAAATTGGACTCCACACATTCCACTTACCTCTCCGTTTCCGTCATCTTGAACCGAGCAAATGAGTGTGACACAGACGCTTTTCAGCTGCTTCCTCTGCTGCTCCTCTGCTTTTATGATATGTGAGCGGTCTGTTGGGGGGCTGCAGTGCCAGATATAGCACCTGTGCTCTGCCTTCTAGAAACGTCTGACAACTCCAGACCATTCCTGACTTCACAAGAGCCAGACTCACATGAGGAGGTAAAACGCATGAATGAATGAGTAGATGTACGAGTAGGTTTTATGACGTAACAACCCCCTAAAAATGTAATTTATCATTGCATTTATGGCGTTACGGTTGTTTATTTATCGATTGCAATAATTTGTGGGTTTGATATATTTTCACCCCAAATTACTTTATTATTATTTTTATAACTGATTTATTGCCCATGGTTTTAATAGTAAACCTGGCCCAGAGTATGTACCTCTGGTATTTACACATAGCCTAATAGAAGATTTTTGCCTAAACCTGAATACATTTTCCTCCTGAAAATAAAATGATATAAAGAGAATAAAGCCAATCAGGCAGAAAACTATAAAGAAACACTGTTTCCACTAGTCCAAAACATGCCTTGGGCCTCTTAAGGACTTGTCTTCCTATAGCTTTGTGTTACAACTTCTATCCACTAGAGGTCAGTGTCGCCCCACCAGGCCTGCTCTCTAGAAACGGCGTCAAATAGATTTATTGGTATCCATCAGTGTAAGCAACATTTTGACCCAAAAAAGGGTGATTCTAAATTAATAAAGACTTTTATCATTTAGATTTTATGCTTGAATTGATTTTAATGTATGTTCACAAGTCACTTTGTTAGGTACACCTGCGATCGACTTTAATTCTTCATTCCAGAGTCAACAAGGTAGATTTTGGTCCATATTAACATAGTAACAGATCCGTTGCTGCAGATTGGATGGTTTCACATCCATGATGAGAATCTCCTATACATCCACATCCTGACAGTGCTCGACTGGATTGCGAGCTGGTGGCTGTGGAGGCCATTTGAATAAAGAGAACTAATTGTCATGTTCAAGAAACCGGTTTCAGATGTTTTGAGTTTTGCAACATGGCATGTTATCGTGCTGGAAGCAATCATTAGAAGATGAGTACACTGTGGTCATAAAGAAGTGGACACGGTCAGTAGTAATTGCTCAAGTAGGCTGCGGCATTTGAGACTCATCTGACCAGGAAATGCTTTTGCAATTATCTGTTGTCTAATTTCAGTGAGCATGTGTGAAGTGTAGTCTCAGTTTTCTGTTCCTAGCTGACAGGAGTGACGCCAGATGTGCTCTTCTGTTCCCCACGCACTTCATTTTGTTCAGAGAGCCGATGCTCACTGGATATTTTCTCTTTTTAAAAAAATCTTCTGTGACAGTTAGAGATGGTTGTGTGGGGAAATGACACCAGATCAACGTTTTGAATGAGGATGAAACAATACATTTTTCTTTACAGTGGATCTATGTGCCATCTATGTGCTACTGAGGGCAGAATTCGGCTTTTTGTCCATGCTTTATAACATAATAGTGTTAATTTTAAAAAGCAGTGTTCAGTTTTGTGTCCGATGGTTTCAGACTGGCTATAAATTGTTTTATGATTATTTGAAAAACGGGGCTCGTGATGTTTTTTAAGAGAGGCAGATGGGCTAGGAGAGAGTGAAGGTTAATGTATGGTAATTGTTGTTTATTCCATAGTAAATAAAAGGTACAGACCTCCGTTTAGCACATATGAAAATATCCTTTAATACCCTAGTTTAAAAAAATATACATTACAATACAGCAATACTGGGCCTGTAATCAAAACAGTAATGGTGTGTTTATTATAGTTTACCACGCTTAAGTGATTACCACCATTAAAAATGCTATTAGACATGATGATAAACCTTAATAAAAGACAACACACAGTAAACAGAGGCATTGTTAAAGAAATGTTACTTTAATGTGCATCAGTAGAGCTCTCTGCTGTCAGCACAACTCTTTTTCAAGAACTAAAGACTCAAATTTGAGCAACAAAGCAGAGACAAATCCACGCGATAAAGTAGAAAAACTCACAACTATCACGAATTTCAAAGGAACCTCAGCTTCTTTGATAATGCTGTCATTTGTATAGGCGTTATTTGAGATTGTGTGTTAAATTCATGTGCAGCCAGTGTGATATTTGGGAATTTGCTCACGCCGCAGAACAAATCATCACTTAACAATCAGTTAAGTGATGAAATCACTCATCACTTAACGACTTCGTTAAGTGATGATGAAGCTAATTTTGGTCACATAATGTAGGTACAACAGTGACTCTTCATATCCAACAGTCGTCATGTCACCCTGCATAATGAAGAGAGTAGAAACTTCTGGGATCCACTGGTGCTTTACCCCCCAAAAACTGCTGGCTTCTTCCTCATTAGGTAAACATATCATAATTAAAGGATAGTTTTTAGCACACTCTGGAAGGAGTGAAGATTATTTTTCCTTCACTCCCAATGCCAGAGGTATGATTCAGTGTCCAGCAGAGTTATGGACATCTCTGACAGGTTGCAGAAAGTCCCCCAAGGACTTTAGGAAACCCGCAAATCTGTCAGGTCCGAAAAGAAGGCTTTGAGTTAGGTTTCACTGTGGACTCTAAGCATCTCGGCCCTCAAGGTCTTCTTGTGGAAGCAGCCCCTGGAAACTGACGTAATGAGAGTTGCAGTAGACGGGGGGTTTGTTAGGACAGGCTTGGACCTGCTCTGGTTTCTGTGAGGTGAATGGATTGGGCCCACTGTCCCTGATGTGCATCTCCAGCTCCAGCAGAATCTCCAGTGAGTACTTGAGCTCCATCTCACTGTTGAGACAAAAGATGTGTGAAAATACTCAAATTTAGGTTGAAGTTTAGTTTTATTGTGCGTGTGAATCGTGAGTGCTTAAGAAACACAAATGGCTACAAGAAAACCGACATTTTGGCAAAACGGCATCAACAAAGGGTGAAAGACTGGAGTATCAGAACTGTGCGATTTCATCCAGTTATACTCTACAGGGGGGGATTCTGTTTAGAGCTCCTGCTGTAAACGAAACAAATCTTTTCATCTAATTGGCCTTTGTAAAGAAACAAAAAAACTAAATTGGAAACAGGTATAGCCTGTTAACCGATGAACAGAATCTGATAGTTATGGCCTTAAGAAATAGGAAGAAATCCAGCAAAGACCTGACACATGACCTGAACGAGGCATCTGGACCGTCAGTGGATCATCTACTGTTCACAAAAGCCTCATCAGAAATTGTCTCAGTGGAAGGGTGGCTGTCAGGGAGCCTTTCTTAAGGTTTCTTGACATATTAAACATAAGAGGAGGCAACAGATCCTAAATGTAGTGATGAATTCAAAATTGAAATCTTTGGTTCAAATCATTGCCAACAAACAGAGGAGGTCAGGAGAGAGGTACGACAGAGTGAGTGTCTACACCCTTCTGTAAAGCATGGTGGAGGCTCTGTCATGGCTGCATTTCAGCCAGTGGTGTTAAAGATCTTGTCGGTATTGACAGAATTACAAACGTGTGATGTGGAAAGCTTCAACAGCTTCATTTTCAGCATTAGATTCAGAATTAGTGACGCTAAAAACACTGCCAATGCCCTAAAAGCATATCTGAATCGAAAAACACACAATGAAACACTAACAGACATGAACTGGCCTCCTCAGAGCCCAGACCGCAACATTATTAAAGCAGTGTGGGCTCATCTTGACTTAGAACAGAACAAAAGGAAGGCAACATTGAAAGAAGGGCTTTGAATGTCCTTCAAGAAGCCTGCAGAACTATTTCTGAAGACTACTTAAAGAAATGTCAAGAAAGATGACTAAGAGAGTTCAGGCTGTGTTGAAGAATAAAGGTGGTCACACCGAATATTGACATTTGAGTTCCTTAGAATTATACAAACTCTGCTTTTGCCTTCTGTACTGTAATTCCATGTGTGTTTGCACATCTCAATAAAGTGTAGAACCTATTTCTAATTTTTCTATCAAAACATAAAGAAATGAAAAGATTTGCATAGCACTGTATGTTCATCAACAATCTCCGACAGTCAGTTCTGACTTTCTTTTTTTCTGGAGTTAGCAGATGGTATACAAAACGAGTTAATGAAGTCCCTCAAGCGCAAAGAATTTCAAATATTCAAGAGAGTGAGAGGTTTTATTAAGCCTGCTATATAAAATGCAATCCAAGCAATTAGAGCCACAGGAGCATGACTTACCTGAACATGGTGAAGAAGGAAGGGATGTTATAGTCTCTGAGCAGCAGCAGAGTGGGCAGCCAACCCTCTATCAGACCCTGGTTAGCGTGGAACCCTGAGTTCAAAACAAACACGTGAACCTGTATGCTGTACGTTCACAAACATGCTAATTATTAGAAATATTAAATAATTAGTGTCACATTTGCTTATGGCCTACACTGTTAAAACCACAGTGCACTTCTATCTTCATTTTATCTTTTCCCATCCTCCAATATAATCCTGGTAAAGTAAATATGTGCATCTTATTCCTGCTAGATGCTCCACTCTTTAAAAAAAATGAGGCATCTGGAAGCTAAAAGATTAAAACAACAAACTGACAGAGAAAACAGTCAGTCTCAGTCTCCTTTTAGTCAGTGAGGTAAAGATGGAACAGAGTACACTTGATTAGGCTCCAGCAAACCATGTGTTTCTCTTGTTAGCTTGAGTACAATCCCTTCTGGGCATAGCTAATCTCATTAATAAAGCAAGGAATCTCTGGCTGTCGTGTTCCTCCGCAGCAGTTTATTGACAGGTGTGTATTGCAGTGTCAGTGTCAGGATTGAGGTCTGAAGTAAACAGCATTATATAATCCAGCTTCACTGATGCCGACACACCTGTGGTGTCGATGTGAAGACGCCAGCTTTGCCACAAGCAAGCGGACCTCATTTGTGAGCTTTAGCTGGACATTGGGAAGCTTGTTAAATCTTTCTTTTCAGCATCACACCAACTGAAAATGTGTGATACTCTCCAGTCAGTCACACAGACAGTCACAGCAGTCCAGCTACATTTAGGACGGGCTGGTTGCATAATCCTCGGGTATATTAACTGACAGATGTCACTTTCCCCCGACTCGGGTTTATATCAGAAGTCAGATTT